TTGCTCTGTCACCTAGACTGGAGTACAGTGGCACAATCTCAGCTCACTGCAACCTCCACCTCCTGGTTTCAAGCGATTCTTCTGCCTCAGCCTCCCAAGTAGCTGGGATTACAGGCCTGCGCCACCATGCCCAGTTAATTTTTGTAGTTTTTGAGTAGAGATGAGGTTTCACTATTTTGGCCAGGCTGGTCTCGAACTCCTGACCTCAAGTGATCTACCCGCCTTGGCCTCCCAAAGTGCTGGGATTGTAGGCATGGGGACTGCACCCCGGCAACCTGTTTTTATTAATGTTTTAAAATATATTGGTATCACAGATACAAAACATTCTCATGTTCTTTAAGAGAATTTACCTTTAAGCTAGAAATGCTGGAAAGGCTTGGTCCATGCACTTTCCCCGAGTTATTTTGCTTCATGTGCATATTACTTTAGGAAGAAGGTACAACAGGGTAGAATACAGTTTTCAAGAAAAAAAATTATGACTTTTAATAACAAGTCAAGTTTTTTTGGTTTGGTTGGTTTCAGTCTTTTCATGATTTAAAAAATTCCTCATCAGAAGAAAGTCCTAATTCCAGTTGTTGTACCTTTCTTTCCCTTTTCTTCAGGCCATCCAGTGAAGAGAGAGAGACTGAAATATCTCTGAAGGATTCTACACTAGATAACTAGGTTGACATACCTGGAATATAGAGAACACTTAAGAAGTTTGTAATGTTTCCATTTGAAATAGACTGCTGAAAGTTTTAAATTTTTATAAGCATAGGTTTTGATGTTGAAAACTTGTTTTGTGGGAAAAAATCCTTCTCTTTGTTTAAAAGTAAACATTATTGCTAAGTGTACTTGTGCAGTATTAACAGCTACATTATACAGTAAATGTGAGGTAAAATCCATTGTTAAACTGCTTTTCCGGACATGGTTGTAGCATATTTTCAATTAGTGTGTGTATGTTATTGTGTAATTGATAGTAGAACAAAGTTACATTTTTAAAACTGCTACTTGTATAAACCTTTCCTCCTTTCCCAAATACAGTGGGTTTTGTGCATAGTTTTTACAAACCTTGGATTTACCAGTCTTTTCACTGTTTGTGGGTTTTGTAGAAGTTGAGCATTTTTATGGTAGATAAAATGTTACTTCTATACAAGTACTCACTCCCTTTTTATCAAAAGTTAATTTTAAGCTCAGTCTACCTTGTGCTACATTATCTGGCTTCTTTGGAACAATGTGTGGTCTGTACGGTTTTTTTTGTATGATAACTAGTTAACCAACTGACATTGAACTGATTTGAGAATTCTACAAATTATAAAACTTATGTTAATTTTTGAAGGTAATTTAGTTTTGTGGCTGGGCATTCAGGGAAGTCTTAAGACTTCTCTGCAGATAACAGACTGGATATATATAGGAATAAATCTGGCTTTAGGGTTAAATCATTTAAGGTCCTTTTACAGGCAGGCACTAGTAACTAAAACTGGAAACTAAAGTTTATTTTTGAGAAATGGCTCAAGTTTCTATGTTGTTAAAAATTCCTTTAGGAAGTCACTAAATAATCGTACTTAATTGGAAGAAAAAAATCCATGATGCTTACACAGTAAATATAAATAAATGCTATATAAGGAAATTTGCCTATTGGAAAGCATGGCTATATTAGAAGTTTTATTTTCATTTCTAGATTCCAAAAATACAAACATCAGTTGTTCCAACATAGTACTTTGAGTCTGTACATTGACATGTATGGACGAAATCAGGGTGAGACCAATGTTACAAAATTTAAGAGTATGTTAACTAAAGGGATAGCATTTCTAAAATATTTTGAGTATTAGGTCATTTGGCATTTTTCAATAAGTAGGCTACTTCTCATGTTTTGAAACTATGAATATGGAAAAAATGGCTTAGGAGCAGCATCTGTTTATGACATTGTATGGTTAACCCTCTGGGATAACTGTTGAGTTGAATTTTTGTTTTTAAGAGGTCTTACAGTGGAACTAAGAATCACTGTTTTGAAAGAACTGCATATATACCAGTCATTATCTGTTTGGTCCTGATACAGTTTTAACTTAGATTTATTCTAGTTAAGCCATAAGTTTCAACATGTAAACTTGTTTTGATTAAAGAATTTTTCTATCAAACTCTTCTAGTAAATTACTTTCTTGCTATTTACAAGACTAAGTGATGGAATGCTGGGTTTGCTGCCAAGGAAATAATTTCTTAGTTAACTGGTCACAGAGGCTGTATTGTTTTGGGAAACAGGGTAACTAAACTACGCTCCAGATGATAAAAATAAAGGAAATGTTATTTATCTTTTGTTCACCCTCCCTTTTTTCCCATGACCCACCAGATCTATAGTTTTACCAAGAAGCCATGGAATATTCAACTTCTAGAAATATAGCATCATTCTCATAATTCATGTCTGCTTGTACGTACAGGCTGACCTTGCTCTAACTAGTTGATGTATATTTACTTCAAGCATTATTGCCTTTTCTTTAATCATAAACCTCAAGAAATTTGTTTTGTCATAGGCTGGTTTACAGATAACTATCATTCTCAGAACTCTTGATAATTATTCCTAGGAATTAAGAACTTTCAGGATCATTGAAATTGTTCATTGGTTCAATTTAGTTGTGCCTGTGGTCAAAACTCCTCAATTCAACATGGTACCAAGAGATGATTTGGAGAGAACCCCCCCCCCCCCAAAAAAAAAAGTATGTGTGATAGGTGGTTTTAACACCTATTTTGGGCTTGTGTATGTGTGTGCGTTTTGATCAATGGATAAAAGTCATACATCAGCTGAGCACAGTGACTTCACGCCTATAATCCCAACACTTCAGGAGGCCAAGGTGGGTGGTTCATGAGGTCAGGAGTTCAAGACCAGCCTGGCCAAAACCCCATCTCTGTTAAAAGTGCAAAAATTACTTGGCCATGGTGGCATGTGCCTAATCCCAGCTACTTGGGAGGCTGAGGCAGGAGAACTGCTTGAACCTGGGAGGCAGAGGTTGCGCCACTGGACAGCCTGGGTAAAAACCAAGACTCCATCTCAAAAAAAAAAAAAAAAAAAAAAAAAAGTCATACATGACTGAGCAAAACTGATTGTTGAAGTTTTCTTAGCTGCTTGGAGAAACTGCAGATACATCCATCTGAATCTGAGAACTTACTGGACTTGGTATGTGAACAACTGGAGAGAACCATACACTTTATAATTACTATATTCAGTGATTTTCAATAATATACTAGATTTTGCTGATACAGTACTGCTGTTTATGTTCCTACTCACATACACTTACCTGGTTACAGATGTCAGGTCAAGATGAAGTCTGCCTCTAATCCTGTATAAAAGCAAGGATTTTTCGTAGGGTGCTGTGAGGGCTTCGTAACTTTATTTTGTCCCATTGGCCAGAGAAAAGATGCTCTAATGGAAATAGCAAACCTGTATTATTAAACTCTTTAGAAACAAAGAAGCTGGTGTAATAGGCAGAAATGTGTTTGTGTTGTGTAATTCTGCAACACAATGTTAGAGATGACTGACCTTTCTCCCAGTAAAATTAAAAAGTCTAATTATCCTTAAACAGGACTGAGGACTGAAATGTTTGAAGAAAGCTTTTGCTTCTCTCACTATACTGACTTTTGTCCATGTGCGTCCACTATTATATAAAAGTCAAATTCAACCACCAAGGAGGTTGACTGACATGTTCATGACTACATTTTCACATCTGCCTATCTTCATTAGATGTTACATGTAATTTGACAGGCATGTTATATTTGATTGAAGTAAGTATAAAGAATAGCTGTCCTAAATCAGGGTTTCATAGCTCCAGAAATATACAAAGTTAGGGATTTCTTTGGACTTGAACTTGGTGGGATACCTGTATAACTGATAGATAACAACACATGGGCAAACTGTGGGAGTAACCTGGTTGGTTAACTTTTCAGTTTCACTAGGAAACGGTAATAGGTACCTGAGTCTTTGATGAAAAAGCCCTTATTAAGAACTAGTAGACTAACATTCTCAAATAATAAAACAAGAATCCCAGTAGCAGAAATGTTTTAACTGGCATATTTCTTCTTTGTCCACTAAAATGAATTGACACTACACACAGAATAATGCATTATGGCAATAATTAACGTTCTGGAGTTTGGTGTTTTGACAGTATGAAATGAAAATGAATAAAATGTCCTTGCATATTCATGTAAGACCTATAAGGAATGCAGTATTAAAAAGGAATCAAAACTTTTACCTGTGGAATTTTGGGGTTGGGTAAATATTTATGATTTGCCGGCAGTTACCAATATGCTCAATTTAGCACTGTTTTATACAAGAAAGTAAAAATTTAGGTACAACTCAGCCTCTGAGTTCTCTATACTGATCTGTGTATGGACTGAATCAATGAATGAGAGCACTAGACATACCAGAAACAAGTGCTTGTCATCTCCAAGCCATGGACTTAACTGGATATGTGGCATTTAAGTCCATAAAACATACTTCACTGTCAATCTTTTAAACATATAGGCTTATAGGTTTTGTCAGTTTTCCATTTATATGATAAATGTCTGTTCATAGCCATCCAGATAGTCAAATTTAAATACAACCTAGGAGAGAGAAAAATTTATTTTAAATGATGCATTTAAAATCTACAGTATTCCTAAAAGTTTTTTAAACAGTATTAGATTTTCCATCCATAAAGGTTTCCAGAAAGTATTTGAATATAGATAGCTATAAATTTATCTGATGGTCTAGACCTGAGAATAAAAAGTTTCTTTTGCTGGGTGCTATGACTCATGCCTGTAATCCCAGCACTCTGGGAGGCCAAGGTGGGTGGATCACTTAATGTCAGGAGTTCGAGACTATCCTGGGCACATGGTGAAACCCTGTCTCTACAGGAAATAAAAAAATTAGCCCAGCATGGTGGCATGTGCCTGTGGTCTCAGCTACTCGGGAGGCTAAGGTGGGAGGATCACCTGAGCCTAGGGAGCCAAGATCACACCACTGCACTCCAGCTTAGGTGACAGAGTACCCTATTTCAAAAAAAAAGTTTAAAAGTTTTTTTTTTTTTCTCAGAATAAGATGAGAACAACTAGGATTATTAAAGTATGGGGACCAGAAGAATGGAAGACCTGGACCAGAAAAACTTTTCTTTTTTGCTTATAGAATATTAGTATCTATCCAGTAGTACCATTACTGAAGAATAAGTGAGCCAGAGCTCGCAATCAATTAACATCTTGATTTTTCCATGTCCTCATAGTCATATGAAATCTGCTATCGTTTTTTAAATCATGGTATTAAATTGACATATTTTCAACTCATAGCATTCATAAAGCTTTTATCAAGAAATAAAGCTTCAAGTTAATGTTATTTCAGGAGTTATGAGTACAAACTCAAGATCTTTTCACATTAATTATTCACATAGTCTTACTAACATGTCTGTGTACCTGGTTTCCTTCAAAACAAAACCTAACATTACTAAACAGCACACTATAAATTACCCCAAAGCGGCCAGGCACGGTGGCTCATGCCTGTAATCTCAGCACTTTGGGAGGCTGAGGTGGGAGGCTGTCAGGAGTTCAAGACCAGCCTGGCCAATATGGTGAAACCCCATCTCTACTGAAAATACAAAAATCAGCTGGGCATGGTAGCAGGCACCTGTAATCCCAGCTACTTGGGAGGCTAAGGCAGGAGAATTGCTGGAACCCAGGAGGCAGAGGTTGCAGTGAGCCGAGATTGCGCCATTGCACTCCAGCCTGGGTGACGAGCAAGACTTCATCTCAAAATAAATAAATAAACCCAATGCTATTAATTTTGTCTTATTCGTAAATAATTCATTATTATTATTTTCCCTAATTTCCATTTTGAAAAGATGTTTGAAGGATCTTTACCTTGGAAGCCTCATGGTAGGAGGTGTAGCTCTCATATTCTTCAGAGAATTTTCTGAACACTTCTACTACTTGATGTATCATTAATTCTGTCCTTAGCAAAAAACACTGGACAGAGATGAATAGGGAAGGCATGGATTGAGTCAAAGAATATGTGTGACTGACAAAGGATTTATAGCCAAACTACATAAAGTAATACAACTTAAATAACTCAAAATGGGTGAAAAGCACTAAAAAAATACACTTCGGAATAAATATGAAATTAATATGTTATTAACATTTAAATACAATCCTTATAAGAATATCTGTGATTTGGACATTTTTTTGGTAGCTTTAACAGACTGTTCAAAGTGGATCCTGTTCCTCAGTGGCGTTTCTTAGAAATAAGGTAACCATCCAAGGGAACAGTTACTTCATGAGGGGGTACTTCTGTGTGTGTAGCTATTCTTAATTAAAGGTTCCAGGATCAACATAAGGATAAGCAAGGAATTCCCCCAGTTTGTTGCCTTCTGAATCATAGTGGAGCATTCGGAAGCAAACATCACAAAAGAAACATGGGTCCTCTGGTGCAAAACTGTCATTGTTCGTCACCCATCTGTAGTTTTTAAAAAAAGAAGTACATCATTACAATCAAATTTTCCATATCTTAACATGCTTTATGAACTGTAGTAATATGTAAATATAACATTCCCACTATTTTCTTATCAGTCTGTTATTAATGCATAATAATCCTCTAAATAATTTTGTTTACAGACAGAAATACATCACCACCAATACTTTCTCTACAAGCAAAAGGCCATTGAACTTTAAGAAACATTCCAGAGGCTGGGTGTGGTGGCTCACACCTGTAATCCCAGCACTTTGGGAGGCTGAGGCGGGCAGATCACCTGAGGTCGGGAGTTCAAGACCAGCCTGACCAACATGGAGAAACCCTGTCGCTATTTAAAAAATACAAAATTAGCCATGTGTAATGGCTCATGCCTGTAATCCCAGCTACTTGGGAGGCTGAAGCAGAAGAATCGCTTGAACTCAGGAGGTGGAGGTTGTGGTGAGCTGAGGTTGCGCCATTGCACTCCAGCCTGGGCAACAAGATCGAAACTCTGTCTCAGAAAAAAAAAACATTGCAGAATGCCGTCTCTTTGTAATATCCTTAAAGGAAGAATATAAATCTACTTTAAAGCATGACACATTTGCCATGACATACCTATCCTCCAAGTATGAATATGGTCATTTTCTTCTAACAGACCATTTTGAAAAACCATAACAAAATTAGATGCTATAGATCTGATATACTTTTGCTTAATTTACCTTCTTAACTGATAAATGAGTCCTGGTTAATTTGAAAACTACAACTCTTTTACCTCTAGAACTCAAAATTATGTTACAATATGAAATATATGCAAAGAACAATATGGGCAACATTATTCGACCA